CCCCCGGGGCGTGCCCTGGCGCGTCGGCAGCGGGCGCCCGTGGCGCTCGGCGGGCCCCGCCGCCGTCCCGCCGCCATGGGGCCGCTGCTGTGGCTGCTGCTGGTGCCGCTGGGCGCGGGCTCCCCGGCGTACGAGGTGTACGTGGATGCCCAGCGGGCCGAGCGGCCCCTGCAGCACTTTTGGAGGAGCACTGGCTTCTGGTAAGCGCGCACGGCCTGGCCCCGGGCCCCTCCGCCGGGGCTCTCGCCTCGGCTGCCTCCCGCCCTCTCGATCCCCGGGGCGTGCGGACTCTCTGCCTTCCAGGAGGAACCGAGGCTCTCCCGAGCCTGCTCCTGTGGGATCGGGGGGCCTTGCTGCCCCTCGCTGCTCAGCTTCTGTGGCACTAGCTCCACCAGCGTAGAGCAAAATGTGGGATGTGGCCAGTTAGTGTGAACTGGCCAAAAAAATAGGCCCGGGCGACATTCCCTCGCCGAGTTGCTTCACTGCCCCCTCGAACACGCGAAGACCTTCCTCTTCCCCCAGCAGAGCGCATATGTTGATACTCTGAACTCATTTCCTTTACTTTTCAGTGTTTCCATTGCCACGGCCTCTAAATAGGCCCAGGCAAACTTCTGATAGTTCTGGGACTATCAGACAAAAGACTGATATTTCTAGGAGTTTGTTCCTCTTGACAAACACTTTCCAGGTGCACCATCTTCCTGATGGGGCTGGTGAGTCTGGTTGCCCTAAGTCAGGGGGATGGCTGGGACCATGAATAAAATGTCATCTCCACCGCCCTGTATCCTGGTAGCGATTTGATTCTTGGAGAAAGCCCAGTCTTGCTGAGCTAACTGTGTTAGGGTTAGCCTTCGAGTTTTGTCAGATACATGTAGGCTTCTGGAAGGCTTGAAAGCAAGAGATGGTACATTCCCCTGCCACGCTTGTATCTTACTCTAAAGGGATTATGACCTCCTCAGTTTAGGCGTACAGTGGATTAAATAACACATGTATGGAAAAGAGTTGCAGTAGGGATGGAGTCAGCAGCATGTGCTTTGGAAAAAGCATGAAGGTACCCCAAGTCAAAAATTGCAACTTTTTTTTAATTTTCCATGTTGTTGGGAAAACAGAACAGGACCTAAAATACGTTCTGATTAAGAGAGATGTTTGAGTTTTCTGGATTTTTTTTTTTTTACCTTTTTTGTTTCATTTTTTTGTTTTAATTTTTGCTTGCAATGTTAGGAAACATTAATGAAAACCTGCCTTAAAAATAGTATGTTTAGCTCATTTAAACTGCACCCATGATTTTAGTTGTGTGAAAACCTTTGGAAAGCTGCAAACACGAAAGGCATGTGAGGGAAAGGCAGAGGAGCAGCAGCAGAGGCTCTCCATGGGTCAGCAGCTATTCAGTTATAACACTTGGCCAACAGTGGTATTTCTCAAGCTCCCTTGAAAGCTCACACGGTGGCACAACTGGGTTCCAGCTGTTAAAGGTTCTTTTCTGTGTCACAGTTTCAGACAGCTGGACAAGGGAACAGCTGTGGATCAGCAGCTGATAAAGCCTGGGAGCAAGGCTTGAGGTTCTCTTGGATGGGCACTTTGCACTCAGAAAAGGAAAGGGCAGATACTGGTATCACCACTAACAAAACCCACTATTCTGTCAGCTCTCTTTTGTGTCTCATCATAGTTTCTGCGGGATTTCTCTCTAGCAGAGTCTGAATTTCAGAGTGTTTATTTAGCGTGGACTAAGCAAAAATATGTGAATGCTCTGTGACTTTCCAACTTTGCCACTTGAACCGAAGCCAGTTTGAATTTCAGAGTAGTGGTAGAGCACTCCTTCATAATCTGGTAGTTAATACTGTTGACATCCACTGGAACAATTAAAAGTACCCAAATGGCTGATTTTTAGTAAGAGTAGAGCCAGTAACTTCTCAGTCTCCCTTGTGTTACCTGAAGCAGTCTTACGGAGATGGTTTTTAAGTGCCTTTTATGCTGATAAAATTGCAGAGGGGTCTCACATATACTGGCTGAATTGTGTTAAGCCCTACTAAGGGGATGTGTTGTGTGTCAAGACACGCTTTCAGATAAGGATGCAGGAGATGTAGTAATAGATAGGCAGTATCTCAGTTGTATCAGGTTCTTGTTCGAGTGGGGTCAGACTTTTCTCCCTTTGTGCACAGATTGGTTGTACAGTAGCAGGTTCATTTCGCAGAGTCCTTGGTGGTGGGATGAATATGTGGAGGGGTACAGAGGAGGAAAGGATGACAGTATGACTCTTCCCAGCACAGTTGCAGTCAGCACAAGTGTAGTCCACACATCATAGGAGACAGACCACAACAGGCAAAGCATAAACTGGATTGTTTTTTGACTTAAACAGATAATATACAGTGTGCAATTCGAGAACAAGTCATCTCTTGCTGCAGTGTGAAAACATGTGGAAGTATTTTACCAAACCTTAGGGGCAGTGCTGTTTTATCCTTCCTGTGATACAAATGCTTTACCATTCAGAATGTACACATTACCAGGAGGCTCAGTGAAAGTCCCCAAGGATGACCAAACCTAGTGAACCGTGCAGCATTCTGAGTTTCTGACTTCCATCTTGCAGCTATTTATTGGTGGAGATAGGGACAACAGGAGTTTGCTGCAGTGTAATGTTGATTTCAATGGAATAAGCAGACAGCAGAGACACGTAGCATGATTGTGGCTGTGTAGCTGTGAGCCTGTTAAACTGCTTTCAGCATCAAGCATGGGAACCTCAAGCCACATATTCCCATGCTTCCTTATGCTTAAGGCTGAGCTGAACATGGCTGAAGAATATGAAGGCTCTGACCATGTAATTCTACTTCTAACAAGTGTAGCTTCCACAGCAGAGCACAAATTGATGTCATTGTATGAACTTCAGCAGGAAGGTCAAGCCCATATTTTCCATACTACAGACGTCAGCAAGTCTGACTTCCATTCCAGAACCTAGGGGACACTGAGCTCCCTTATCATTAGGTACTCAAACAGGGTGACTGCCACTGTATGGTTTCTCAGGGCCACTGCTGCCCGAGATTGCTGTCTGTGCAGTAGTGACTGCCTGTAATGCTTTCCTGCGAGCGTGCCAATGAGATACACCCAAGTTGTGTTCCACTTTGGCAAACCTCATGTATAGCCAGTTAGCCCCAGATAACCTGCAACTGCATTTTGCTTTTACCTCATTTTAGATGGTGCTCCTCATGCTAAGTGGGATCTTGCAGTTTGGTGTAGGGACTTAGCATAGGCATCTTTGCATACCCAGTGGTGCTGTTACTTAATGTTGCAATGTGTTGTTTCTTTTCTGTCCCTCTTTTCCTGAAGCCCTCCTTTACCTCACAGCCGTGCTGACCTGTTTGACCTGAGCAAAGATCAAGAGCTGAACCTTGCCTACATTTCTTCTGTTCCACATGGTGGCATTGAACAAGTTCGAATTCACTGGTTACTGGAATTAGTTGCTCTTAGGTAAGCAAACACCTCAAGTCAGAGTCTGGGAAAACTTAAAAGGTCCAACAGGTGCTCACTTTGATATTTATCTTTGTCTACTTGCAAGCTGGGCATGTCTTTGCTTCCTTGGAAGTCAGTTGTGTTCCAACAGATGGGAATTATTTTGAGGTTTTATGAGATTGAGAAAGAGAGAGCTTCTGTTGAGAAGCTGAGATACTAGAAAGATGGCTTACTTTTTAGTCCTTTAATTTAGGAGACATGATACAGCAAAAAAAGTCCCACGAAGATTGATACAAGCCTGATTTACTGAGAGATCCAAATGAAAACTACCACTATTTTACTACTATTTCTATCTTCCTTCTACCTAACTTGGAAGTTACTTTTTGCATCCTGAACCCACCTGTGCACTGCATCAGTTGACAGGTAGTGACAACTAAAATGGTGAATTTGGGTAATACCAGTTAATACCTTCTTCCAAAAGGATTCATATACAGAAAACATTTCTAGTTCTATGGAAATACATGTCAGACTTTGAGAGGACAACGTTGGAATTCGTTGCCTTTCAAGTCCCATTTTAAAACTCAGTTTAAATGCACTCATACCAATATGCCCAGTGGAAATAACCAAATACAGATGCCTAGAGCAGGGTCTGTGTGGGAAGACAAAACATAAAAACCCCATCAAAAGTTGTAATAGCTCTTAAAGTTTTGCCTGGCTCAGACTGTTGCTGAGCTGAGCATGTTTACAATCTACATTACTGTGGCATGCGCTGTCCCGATGCAGGACAATGGGAATTTATCATTTTTGGGAAGCAACAAGGGGAAGGAGAGGAAACAAGGGGAAGCAACCGTGGAAAAGGGATGTGAGCAAAAGAGTTGCATGTGTTGAAGTGTGTATTAGGAACAGAAGTTTTCTTCCTTGTTATTAGGGTGCGCTTGTGTATGTAGGTTTTTTGGGAAGGTGATGAGAAGCCCTGCACACAGATAAGTGTTGTATCTGTAGCCCAGAGTGACCTCTGTATGTTAGTTCATCTGTGAATATAGCAGGCAACAGAACTCCTTGCGCTCATCTTTCCCTGTGGAAGTTTCCAGTGAACGCTCTTTCCTCTACTGTGTCTCCCTCTCTTTTTGGACTGTGGGATTTGTACTCTTGCAGTGATCCAGGGGCAAGGGCAACTACCAGTGCTCACCACTGCTGGGGTCCCTGTCTTGGATCTCAGAAGTTTCTCCTGAGAGATGGCTTGGGTCTTTCAGGTTTCTGTAACCATCTGACTTAGGAAAAATGTGCGAGTACCTTTGAAAAGAAAGTAGCCACATCTACAGTCGGAGCTCAGAATCCCTCCTGGCAGCCTGTCTTAGCTGTGCCATGTGTTGAATTGGGCTTTCCAAATGAGGGAAAGGAATGCATCTGTCATGGATTCTGCTCAGCCTTTTTGGGAAGTGAGGCACTGAGTCTTTCAAAGTGGGGTACAATCCTTCACACAATTAGAATTCTGGGAGCATGGAAACTTAGCAGTCAATCAGGAAGTCCCCAGCAAAGCTGTAGTGCCTCAAGGGTAGGAGTGGTCTGAGTGTCAGCAGTGATTTGGAAGGAGAGAGAGCATGGAGTGTGCAGACAAACACTGGAATTGAAAAAAGCAACGGGCAGGAATGCAAGTAGGAGAAGGAGAGGTCCAGTCCTGATGCTGAATTTTGTGCATGTGCAGTTTTCTTCCTGAACCAGTGGTTTCCAAAAGGATGTAGAGGTTTTGAGTGAGAAACCTCCAGCAGCAGAACTGCGTTATGTCGTGGGGTCAGTGAGTAGAGAAGACTTCATGGAATATGAAAATGGGCACTTGACTGAAGAGGAACACTTAGAGAAAACAGAGGACTAGGAGGTACCACCTCTGTGGAGTCCTAACAGATAGAGGCTTTGCTTTTCCTCTCAGTTGTGCCATTATCAAAAAGGGGGCATAAATGTTTCTCCCGAGAAGCAGATGTGCTCAAATAAAAGACTGCCACCTTCCCCTTCTCACTTCCATAGTGGTCTTTCTCATTATGTCTTCTAATCCCCCAGTGCCAAGTGCATCCCTTCATTTTAACCATTTTCTAGTACAGGAAGCCCACCTCTTTATCTTTTTTTTATTCTGAGTTAGCCCATTATTTCACCACCTGCAAAAGGATACCACAAGATAAACTGTTTTCAAAGAACTGCTGGCTTTATTTTCCAGCCAAAAGCACACATTTGTCTCTTGGTCTTGTGGCATAGAAATATTCATGATTATTGGGAAACCCAAGATGTTTTTCAGGGACTGGACAGTTCCCAGGTTGTTAGTTACCAGTGCCAATAAACAGAGCTGTTTTGACACCTAAACCACACATTCTTGCCATGCTTAAATAGTCAACAGGACAGTTTGAGCTGAAGATTCCCAACTCTTTGCCCAGCTCTAAGGGACACACACAGTCCACAAGTTAAGAACCCTTTTCTGTTCTTATGTAGCAGTACTAAAATCTGTTTGTTACATGATACATGATAAATCACAAGGCATCACAGTGAACAAAAATACAGTCATTCTATATGAAGCATATAACATTTCCTAAAAGGCATATAACAATCTTTATTTCAACAGTATTAATATTAACATAGTCGGAATTACGAGACCATCCCCAGCTCCTCTGCAATACACCATACTTAATCTCTGGTAGATTAGGAGAGAAGAGTATCAGCAGTTTTTGTTAATTTTCAGTCTTCACGTCCTTCGTCTTGGTATAACACAGTATAGCAAACATAAATGTGCTAGAAAAAGGTTTGCTTTTTTAATTAACTTTTACATAGTCCTTAGAAATAATTCAGAGTCTCCCAACATCCCTACAGCCTAGCACTGAAGTTGTTTCCCTGCTGTGTTTGACATTGTCCAACACAGCTTGATTGTGAGCCAGTTCTGCCAGTAAACCCAAACCAGAAAATTATTTCTATGGTTTCTTCTGATCAGTAGTTTCTTTCTCTGTAGTAAAAGTCCTAAAGCTTACTCTCTCTTCTGCGTAGCCAAGTTTCTTAGCTTAGGTATCCTTTTGTACCATTCCTACAATAAATACGATGAAAAAGAGACTTCTGACTCTTAATTTCTCAGCCTGTCTTCATTTTTCTCTGGAGACTGTTGCAAGGATACACCTTCCATTAGAACCTCTTTTTTTTCTCTTTTAAAATGAGATTACTCTAGACTTAAGTGTATTTTTTGCATTTTTTTTCTTTATGTTCTGGGTTGGTGGATTGATCCATAAAGCTAAAAAATGTCTGGATTGCTAGGATGTTTTATTTGACTTCCAATGACAGCTTGTTTTGGCACAGCAGCCTAAGAATGTCTGTATTGATACTGTGTGGTATTAACTCCTCATGCTTGCCGCAAGCAGGACCTTAAAAGAGATATTTCCTGATCAAAGAATGGTTACACAAAGCAATATTTTTTCCTTGGGCTCTGCTCATTTCTCTTTAGAACAGAAAAGCTAGGCATACCAAGTCAGCAGTTTAAATAATAATATAAGTGAATTGTTTGATGACATGAAAATGCTGCCAATGATCAATCCTTTAATCTTGTGACATTTCTGGCAGGTTTTACTGCTCTGGCCTTCTTAACAGTAATGAGTTCATGAAAATGTCAGTATTGAATCAGCTAATACTGTGCTATTCTCAATCCCTGTGAAGACATTTTTTATTTTTTTGAATTTATTTTTTTATCTTTTGGTAAAACACTACTTTTCCTTTAACAAAATACTTGTTCTTGAGAGCCAGACAGTGCCTGGGGTACCTGGAGAGCCTCAGTTTGAGTGTTTTTTCTTTCAGAGATCTAAAAAGTTGAAACAAGCAAGTCACATGTTGTGTTGACCTGACTTCTTTTTTTTTTTTTTTTTAAAGTCACAGCAAAGAAATGGCTTCTGCATACTTGGAAGCTCTGTTTCTAGAGCTTCTACGTGGACTCTGTTTCTAGAGTCTGCTAATTGTAAGAGGCACAGCTGTGATAGAATTTCCTTCTGTGCTTGGTGCTGTATGAACCAGCCATGATTAATGAGAGAGACAGGGCAGATTTCCTACCTTTTGTGCAGGTAATTATAAACTTGAGTGGAGGATATTCTGCCTGTGCCATGAGCCAGAACACTGTGTACTAACTGTGTTAAAATCAAAATCCAAAGCTACGCTTACTTGTAATAAAAAGAATATGCATATATAACAAAACAACTGACACTGGCAGTATCATACAACATAAAGCACAATGAACAACAGCTAAGGTAAATTATTATAGAAAGTGACTAGACCTGGAAAACATGGTCTAGTGGACCTCAAATCAAAGACTAATATGTTAGGAAGAAAAAAACCCAAAGCAAAACAAACAAAACCCCACAACGTCTGTAGTATGTACAAACAGTGGTGGAATTTTTCCAACATACCAGGATCACAAGTTACAAAGCGTTGCTCCCTTTGCTTGGCCCAGGTATGTTACTTGTAATACTTCATTAGCATTGCATCAGAGAAGACCAGCCAGGCAGTTCTGACTGACCTATCAATCCCCTTGTAGGCAACTCACAGATTTACCTTCCCACCCTACCCTATTTGCTCCTGTTTTTCCTTGAACCCAGGCAGGCATTTGTAGGAAGAAGGTGACGTACTGCATCACGGTTCTGAGGTTTTATGTTTGGTGATCCCTATGTATCCCTGAATTAGAGTTGCATCTGCCCACCAGAGGCAACTTATTTTTACAGGACTGTGGTACAGCTACCTGGGTGTTTGTGTGACTGGCAGTTAAAGCCATTCGTTTTCCCTAATCCTGTTTATCCTCTTACTAGTTACAAAATCTTGCGTCAAGCGTGTTTCTTCTGGCATCATTAGGGGTATCACAGCCTTCAGCAACTAATTACCACAGATTTAAGCTAATAAAACAGCCAACTCCAGCAGCAATTTTTGGAAATGGTCGTTTTGAGAGGAACCTGTGATGAATCACAATTTCTTCTCCTGTGGCAGGTTATGCTATTAAGCCTGTGTAATCG